CAGACTCTGGCACAGGATCGGGAACGTTGGAAGCACTGTCTGGCGCGTCTGCCTCCGCGACCCGAAAGGAAAAGCGGCGATGGAAGATGATGTTGAAGATGACGATCTCAAGAACGGCTGACACATCTAAACTATCATTTGTAGTTTAATTTGAAACAACAGTGCCCATAGTGCTAGCAGAAAACCTTTAGAAGCACAAAATTATGAAATGACTTTCACGGTGAATGACACTACTCTTATTTTAACACTAGAACCTGTACGCAATCAAATAAAATACATTCTTCTCCCCATAAGAGTAGTGGCAACAACCAACTATAAGAAGTGCAGGCTACAAGAAAACTCTACGCTCATACATTCTGGTCCATCCACGACAAATCATTTTCTGCATGACGTTACCTATGAGTAATAACATTTTAATGCCATTTCATTAAAGCTGATAGGCTAAATTGAATCATTAAATCCAGAAGACAAATAAAAATAATCTAAACCAGAGAAACAAATTTGTTAGTGCAGCAAGGAGATAAAACAGTACAGAAGGTCAGCTAAAGTATATGTTTCATGGAACTCTAGATATAGCACCGGTCGATTAGACATCAGTAGTAGACTGCTCTCATTTCCAACACTTTCTAAGTTTCGAGCTTAGAAAGAAATATTCAACTCAACAAAAGCTGTCCGCCTTATCTCGATCAGATCATTGTGGCCATATGACAGACATTCATTGTAGAGACCAATAACATCGGTTTAAGGGCGCAGAACAGACACTTCAAAGGAAATGAGACGCCACTTTAAAATTAACTTACAAGACTCATTGAATAATAGATATTGTTCGAGATTTCATGCACGGATGATCAGCGTGTTCGAAACATCGATAAATAAATTTTTTGCCTCGACTTTGCATTTAAAGATATAATTAGAATATCTTCTGTTTCGAAGAATTCTTACTTCAAACATCGGCTATGAATGCCCATAGACACATTTGTGTTCAAAACTTTTGCCAACGCATGTTTGGTCAATCGAAATAACATTAGTCTGTAGTGAAAACGAATGCCCTGAATGGCTATGGGAAGTTACAATTAGGCATATTCTTCGTCTACTATTTAAACAGTTCAAAAAGGATTGACCATTGCTGAATCAACAACGCCCTTGCACCTCAAAGAAGTAAGCGATCCGTAGAAGAGGTCACATTTAGTGTGGTTGACTCATTTGAATGAAGAACTTTCACTGGCTAGTTTTACCTGAGCAGATCACTGGTCAAGCCGAAACAAGAACCAATCCAGTCAAGCCGTTCCGCTTTTCGTTCGCTGAGCTTCAAAAGAAGTGGCGGCAGATTTTTCCTGGGCGTGATCTTCTCTTCCAGCAGATTAGATTTCTGAAAAAATGGAATGGGAAACCAGATGAAGATCAATGACTGCATCTACGATACCCCATCTACAGTTTCTTCGACGTCCGGTTCCTCAATTCCCTTGGAATCTTGTTCCATGTCTTCGCCAAGGCTAGGTATTTGGCCACTGTAGTACAACTGGAGTAATTTCAACGCCTGACTTCCGTAGCCCATCTAAAAACATGTTGACTGTATAATAATATATAATGTAGTTCCGATGTTCATCTACCAAGCAGTGTGTTGACTTATATAGTGTTATCATCGACGAGTGTTCACAAACAAATACTCGACTTACTCGTTGATAATCCGGGTGCGTTGCTATTCGCACAATTCGGAGACCGGATAAATGGGGAAATTCGCTGTCTTGAAACTATAAATTAGAACAGTGGAGAATAACAAACCAAAGGATAATGAGCTGAATTAGCCTACCTGTTGCGCTACCGTCCAGGGAATTAAGTCGCCGGCAGGCCTTTTTGAACGGGCCATATTTTCAACAACACTAGACTTCATGATTTCTCCTTCCATGCACGCCTCGATCACGCATAAGATTTCAGGCAGACGTGTCTGATTTTCAGTAACCGGTCCCAGCAGACAGAATAGATGGTGAGCGGGTGCATCCGAAACCATCTGAAGGTCATTGGGGCTATTCTGCATAAAAAGCGATAAAACATGAACAATACATGCGTACAGCAGTTATGGCCAAATGACCTACTGCATACTTTATAATGGGCGGCAACGTAGATGGCCATCAGTCGTTGCAGGAACGCTTCAGAGGCCCTGTGATAGCAGAAAAGCGTGTCTCGATTCACGTGATACGTAGCAGTGAGTTAAGAGCGGTCATGTGACATGATGAAAATACACTAATATAAACAAACCATTGGGAAATGTTGAGGGATGCTAGCCAGAAAGCTGAGGAACAACGACCATATATCGAACATAAGGGGTAACATAAACTGATAAGAGATTCTCTTAACGTTCGTTAAACCTACAGCTAAATACTGATCCACCGTCCCAGTGCTTCAATTTCGAAAACAGTCGCGCAGCGACCAAGTACTTATGCTACGTGAGATAAACCAATCTCAGATGAAACGGTGTTTAACTGTTGTATCTGCTGCGTAAACATTAAAGTACTGTCCAAATACTCTACTTGAATGTGAAAGATCCTTTTGGGCCATGAACCATATCCAACAGACAACCGCCGCCATCTGATAGAGGACAAAATGTAGTAAAATATGTAATAAATCAGAGCAAGTTTCTATTCACACACAATTCTGAGAGTAATCAAACGTATGCTGAATCACGTTTATGGTACTTGCATATTGGAAGCATATGTTAATGGCTTCTGGTGCATAAAAATTCGGGCTCTAGCTACAAGTATAAAATCAATGACAATGAAATTCCCAGATCGATGGCTTTAGGCATATGTTGCGAGTTCCTCTAGAAAGGAAGGTTAAGCAACTGTTTCTTGCGAACCGACCGGCAGAAGGCACAGGGGACGGTCAAGATTAACCTGGTGCAAACATATGGAAGGAATCTGTTCCAGACTCCATTTGTCTTTTGCCAAAGCTCAGACTCTGGCACAGGATCAGGAACGTTGGAAGCTCTGTCTGACGCGTCTGCCTCCGCGACTCGAAAGGAAAAGCGGCGATGGAAGATGAAGATGAAATTCCCAGATTACGTCGAAACGGCTAAAATCTACACTGAGCCGGTCAGAAGGGTGTCACAACAGCTGAAGAGAAAAGCAAAAGGATATAAATCACAGTCGTCTGGCGACGGGCATCCGCCACGAAAACTCTGTATCGTGCTGGCGTCCAAACACAGCAGTTTGTTCAACCACTGCTCGACTTCATCACCCGGCTTGTACCGAATAGATTCTGTCAACGTGATTTCAGTCAACACGCGTCCTATGAAAACGCAGGCAAATAAAAGAAAAAAAGAAGTCAGCAAAACAAAACCAAAAGCCTACCACTGACTGAGGTAGTTTGTTTATCAAGTTGTTTGTCGCCAACGGCTGCTGATTCTTTGACATTCGCAGTCTGCATCCTGAGCTGCTGCAGTAGTTTCAACGACAAGGAACGGCCGGTGCCTTCGTAGCTGAAAGCTGCTCACGTTAATAACTGATGACGACTGCCACAACAACGTTAACAAAAAAAATGAAGACTGCCCTCTGCTCATCATAGTTGACGGTTCGCGATATCGAAGGTAAGAGAAAAAACTAAAATCTGAAACCTAACCTTGAGCCATTGAAGAATGCATTTATATGTCTATTTTTGGATGCATAGTTTCATTTTATTGCCAGACCCGATGGTGGCATAGGGTTATTCAATGTCTGACAGCAAGCAAATAAACACCAAATCTAACGGTTTGCTAAATTTTTCAGCTTACTTAAAGAAATTCCACGCATGATGATGAAAAAAAGTTTCCTTTGTCCTACGAAATGAATTCATATGACACTTTTTACTTGACTTAGAGGCTCTATTTTGCGCTGATTTGTAGACAGCTATCAAGCTGTGTTAAGATAGATTACAGCCGGAGAGCGCATGCATCAAACAGCATGGTCTTGTGTTTGAGATTCGAAGCCGGAACATCTAAGGTGCAGAGCAACGCTATAATCGAGTGCGCCATTGACATGGTTTCGGCAGAGTAACCTTCTAGTAAAACATTTCCTTACGCCCGAAGAATGAGAGCTGCAATGCAGGTTCAGTTCTACGGCATTTCCATTTCTTACAATGATAAACCCCATGCATTTTCTGGAATTTCTCGCAAATTTCGCTTCCACTCAACTTTATATGTCACTTTTAATGAAAACCCTTTATGGCAATACTGCATGTATTATATTTCCTTGCATATCAGCACTAGAACAGCTTAGGTAAATCAGAGTGAATGAATCGTTACCTAGGCTGAAATGAGCTAAACGGAGAATAGCAGAGCGCTGTGCTTACCCATTGACAGTCGATGCCAGAAACACCAGATAGGACCCAAGTAGCTTCTTAACGTACGGCAACGGTATAGCCGCCGCTTCATCGATTACTACCAATTCTGCTTGTCCCAGCTTGTCCGCGTCCATAGGATGAATGTACTAAAACTCGATTGCACTAAGCATCGATCGCCGTCCAGCGCCTTGTGGAAATAAAAAATACCTGAATCGTCTGTCGATGGTCACGGAACACATTCAATCGAATGATAGCATTCTTGAACTCTGGATTTGTTGACCGCACAAGTTCGTAATGCAGGTGCTCCTAAAAAACATTCAGACGTCTAAAACTTGAACATTAAAGGGTGGAAATCTAGCAATTAACACACGAATGTCCTTTAAAATTCAAAAGCACCATTTTAGATTAAACTCATAAGAGTGAAGTAATGTTATGAATAACTGGCATATCTTGTAATCATTCATGCTAATAGCCTGCTACACAGCTTGAGGTTGCAGTAGCTACCGCATTCAACAACAGCTCCTGTGCTGATACAGTCAGACATGAGTTGCGCAACGAGCGGTTTACTTTCGCTCTTACCAAACTATTTATAACAGGAAGTCCCACGTACCAGCGATCAACACTAGAGGAGAAGTTACGTGCAACGAGTTAGAGTGTCCGTTCCTTTATTAACAGTCGCCAAAGCTCACATCTCAGAGAATGCCGTAGAGGATGGGGGGGGGTCATTATGGTGGTCATCATAACGGATTGTGCACCACGTATGATTAGAGCCTCTTGCTCGCCAAGGTAAAGCATGCGGCTATTTCCGCTGAACAGGTGTTGTAGAGAATATTAGTTTGTCGCGTCAATGTCTAGCAGCCAGAGTAGATGTCACCTACGAACTAACCACTGCGTCAGGTGACAGCGACAAACAAGCCTCCTATAACAGCTTGCTTTCAGCTTTCAGCGCTTTTGAACCGTTAAATTATCACAACCGTCACAGGCGATCACAGAGCGAAGGTTAACGCCGAGTACAACCCATGACCAAACGTAGTCGGTCGGCATCAGCAAATTGGCACCGCGTGTGACAACGACAGACGTCTGTTAAGAAGGCAACCGCTCAATCAACAGTTTGGCAACTGAAGACAGCTGTCTTAAGGGGCGCCTATTCCTCAATAACGAAGCACAGGCTACTCACGGCTCCAAAGACTGAAAAACGAATGCTGCTAAACGAAAAATAGGCAGCATCTAAAAAAAAGTCGGTGATCCGACCGCATTCAATTAAACTCAATCGAATAATCGACAACCAGTTCAACAAGAAACAAGACAAGATACCTGATATCCCATAACATCGAAGCCCTTGCAGACGAATTCAAAAAATGTTTTCAAATTCTCAGGACTGGGAGAAGTAACGAAAATGTTCGTGTACCTGAAATTACCAATTCATCGGGGTGTATAAAAAAAATACCACAAGGAATAGCTGACTTACTCAAAGGCAACGGCACCGCTTACTGCTATGCCGAGTGCCGCTGATTTTCCGCGTCCGCGAGCAGCGGTCAGCGAGACAGTGTATTTCAGCGTTTTTTCAGTGATTACATCCAGAAACTTTAAAACGGCCTTAGCCTACAATGCTGCCCTAAGAAACGCCAATCGTTCTTGTAAGAAAAGCAGCATCGCTTACCTGATCCAAAGTTTTACATAATTTTACGAGATGACCTATTGGTTGCGTTTCTTCCAAAGATTTGACCAAATTTGCCAGCTCAACCTCGTTTTTTGTTGGTTTTTCCTAAAATCGAATTCGTTATCTTCATTTTTAACTCTTTACCCTGAAACAATTAGATGAAGGAGAAAAGTGATGAATATGTGAATAATAGTATCTTTATTCGTTAACTTTCGTATGATTAAAAAGACTGCGGAAGACTCGAAGGGGTCACTGCAAATTAGGCATTATCTAAGGTAAAAAAATAGCGACTTTGGTCGATCGTCGTCTGTTCAAGAGCACAATAATTCAATGTCAGACGGTATATACTGGCAAATTTTATAAAATTCCTACACGCGCCTTCAAAATGCAAAAAAGCATGACTATCCAACAAAATAATATAGGAAATTTATCAAAATAATGAGTTATTACTAAATCTGGTATCTCAGGCACATTCTTCAGATTAAGCAGCACTGTCGATACCTTTGCCTAAGTCGGAAAGGAAAAATTACCTACCTTTAGCCTATCCGGATACACACTTCTGAAGCAACGGCGAAGGAAACATTATCTTCAGTAAAATTTCCGTTTTATGCTGATAAATGAAGTCATCCATAATTTAATTTTCAGCGAACTTTGAGTAATTGTTGGTTTGGTTTTAGATGGCTTTTGAGCCTGAATTTTCGTTTGTTCGGTAGATTGCTCTTTTGCTCCGACCTTCACAATACCTGTTTGGAAAACCTACTGAGCACCGTCAATGGCTTTTGTAGACCACTGTGTTGTAAAGTATGATAAATAGCTTATCTGCCACCATCACTTATTCGTAGGATGTTATGAAGAAGTCTAAAACCAGATCCAGGAAATCGAAATCACCATTCTGATTGATTATTTTCAAAATTTTGTTTCTTTCTCCAGTGAAAATAAAATTCAACGGATGCTTGTTTGCCCAATCAAATAACATCTCGATGGCAGGATAGTTTAAATCATATAGCGCCGGACTCGCGTAAATGCGAGTTCGAATTTTTATTAGATCATTCATGTGTTTCACACTGTAGTGAATAAGTGATTACCTCCACACGAAAAGGAGACAAGACAGTGGACAAGAGCCTGCCTACTGTGCTTGCTACGCAGACTCATAGAATGTCTCTTATTATGCGCGGCGCTGTTTTCGACACCTGTCTACACCGAAATCGTTGGCAAATCTCTCCGTGAAGGCTTGCAGGCCATTAATATCTTATGTTGCGTCAGTTTTCTTTTCTGGCCTTCTTCAGAAAGATTTCGTAAAGCTTTGGTGATCCCTCAAGTTTCTGCCGTTTCAGAGCAATATTCAACTTCAACTATTGCTGATATTTTCTGTGGACGCAATTATGGCATTATCAACAAGTCTGGTCAAGATAATTCTTAACGAAAAAATTCACACTCATCACTATTCTTTCCTAGTGCCAATCTCGAACATCGAGCATGTACTTTCATATTTTCCTCTCCTTTGCGAGCAGACTAACAATGTACTGAATTAAACAGGGAATCAGTACATTTCTGAAATGCATTTGTCGCATGCTCGTTGACAACGCATACATCTACACTATATGCCATCAGCCAGTCACAGATCTGCCTGTCGTAATGGCCTCAAACAAACAGCAACACATTCACTTCAAGTCAGCAGCAGTAAATGGATTGGCGGCCAGCATGCAGCAAGTGTACCCACAAGCGCGAACTCCTGTAAAATAGACTTTCCGAGTCTCCATTCATACACCAGATCTAGCAGTACCTATTTGCTTTCTGTATTGTCTGCCACATACCCGTAGAAATGATGTTTCACTGATAATCTAAGTAGACGTTGGCTTTGCCCCTTACTACGCTACATGATACGCAACTAAGGAGCAGACATAAGACAAAACGACTGATCTATTTGAATATCTGGCATGATCGCGTCTAGAAATACATACTGAAATTCGTGTCATTATAAAAGGTTAAGATTATAGCTAAGTTGATTCGTTCGAGCAACAAAGTTACTATCAGCACAAGAGCTTATAATACATTGGGTACTTAATATAGTTGATGACAGCAACTTGAATGGCACAGCTGGTTTTTAAGCCAATCAAACAGCCGGCGGGTCAGCAAAAGTGCTTAAAAAAGCTTAAAGTGAAAGTGGGCTCTTCGCTTGCAGCGCAGTAATGAACTGACTAAGAAAATGTCATCATAAAACATATGAAAAATAAGATATAGTTACTCACCCGCGCGTTTATCGGAATCGGCTGCAGATTAAACGAATGTGACGAAACTGGTAGAATGTTAAGATGATCATCAACTACTAGACACGACGTGCATGTCGATAACGAAAGCAAAAATCGCTCGTTAAACCTGCCAATCACCTGATCATGCGATTCGGTGCGATATCTTTTGTGAACATCCTAAATATTAGAAGATGAGGATGGTCGGCTGTTCTCAAATTTCAGCAAGTGATAAGCGAGGCACTCGCCATACCATGGTCATGGTGAACAGCTGACGAAGTGAGGTTACACTGCGTAAAAGAATAAGGACCAAGCCACCGCCCTCCACCGTTTCGACGGTCCTGGCCAGAAGATTAGGCGTCAACGCTTCGAAGTCCTACGAAGAAGTTAAGTAACGCGTGACATCGGTAGCCCGTCACAGACCTGCAGAACGCACATACCGTACGTATTGCCCAAGATACGGTGTGTTTCTGAATAATAGCAGTAACGGATGTTCGTGGCGGCGACAAACATTTCGAACGGGTCTTCTTCATTGATGCTCGCCTTTCCGCTGCGCATTTTCTTTTCGAGTTGATGGATTCTCTTTTTCCGGTGACTAAAGTCAAAACCACAAAACTAGGCAACAGACACCGATCAATCAACAATTAATCTAAATACAGCACTGTCCATCGAGACCCTCATACAATCAAAATCTCTAGAAGTACCTGAAAAGTGCGTAACACGCATTTACGAATATGTAATAGGCGAAAGTTTAAAAACAATTTCTAACAAGGCAAATACGCTCATCAGTGTGATATCAAGGAGTACCCAGGAACATAACAAGAAGCAGCAATGAACTATTAAATTCTGTCACGACTACAAATTATATGTAGAAACAATGTAGTCTGTGCATAAAGGATTATCTAGCAAGTTTCGATAGAGAGAAAGCACAAGTACCACTTATCACTAACTGAGCAGTCCATCTCAAAGCGTCATCTTCTAGATGGTGGTGAACATTTCTAGGTCTGGATTTTTGAAAACTAAAAGTAACCGCAACCGCTTATAACATATTACCTCTGCACTGCATCACTGCAAGATTTCAGATGAGCTAATTATTTTTGAACGAACGGCACAACGTCCTCAATTTATATGTTCGTTTATATTACCTGCCTTTTCTAGAATTCCTACTTAATATATACTTCGGGTCAATATCTATAAATGTACCTCAACTCTATCTTTATTGAGGTTTCACATAAATGTTGGACAGATCAAGAATCTAAACCCCGCTTTCAAAAGAAAAATGCCTCGTCGGTTCGGGGATTGGCTGTGGGAAAAAATGTCTGACTTCTCTTGAAACGAATTGCCTTTGATTTGATCTTCGTTGCCAAGTAGGACCAAAATTAAGGTGAGAGCATTTCGACGACGATCTGCGGCTTTCTTTGGACTGCGCATGCGCAATTTGTTCGTTCTAGCAGTCTTCGAATAATCGATCGCTCGCTCGTTCCGCTGTGGTTTATGCATACCCAATTGAGCTACAGCACAGTACGTTGTACACTGTACAAAAGTACATTGTACCTTTTCGCCTGTGCCCTGCACTGCACTCTGAATATTATAAAATGGCACCTATCGCTTAAAAAATGAAAACTGCTACAAAAATACGAACGACGGGGTCGTTGTGTATCCGGTTACGGATGTCATCTACGTGAACTTCTATCAAACTACGCTGGACAAGATATCCGGATCCTATATAAAGCTGCATTGCGTTTAAGTGCCTGATCCTTCAAACATTTCAACAACGATGGCTTCCAAATCTACCAAACCTTAGGAAGTCATAGCTGGTTCCCCTATCGCAGCGGTTATCATTACTCCAAATCCTATCGGATGGTTTCTTAAGATGACGCTTAGTCATTTAGAGTCAACTTGCTCTTTCAAACTATATCTAGGCCAATTCTTCCTCCTTTTGCTAACGCCACTCTTCTATTTTTTCCCTCCTTTTAGCAGTCAAATTTCAAACAGTTTCAAACTTTAAAAATATTGGCCAGCCTTGCAGCGTTCGCTGGAGAGAACTCCTGCATGCTTCAGTCAGTCGCGCCATCAAGACTTCTCTGCGTCTCTGCCACGTCGTACTATTCGCAATATCCGCTTTTAGGGACAGGGAACCTTACGCAATATCTTCACTGACTTTAAATGTCAGCACTTAGTCCCGTAAAAGGCAGTATAGAGTCGTTCTTCTCAACTCTGATACAATGCTTCTGTACGATAAACAAACAAAAGCTTCGCACTTGGCAAATTTATGCATCAAAACTTCAGTGAGCAAGTCTGTTGTGTAAAACTGCTTATACATAATTGCAGTCTTTGCTGTATTTTTTATTCCATTTCTCTTTTACCTTGTGTTCTTATCGCTCTCCTGCAGTTATCGATGTGACTTCGTTATTAGCGGTTCTTGCAAATTTGGACATCTGATTGTCACTGTTTTTACGGATCATTCAGCTTACAAACTTCGCCAAACATATTAGCCAATAAGGAGAATGCGTGATTCACGCGCAACGACTGAGTTTTCCAATAACATGCTTTCAACACAAGTACTGCTATATTTCCTGATTCAAGAGAGAGAACAAACAAAACGAGTACTTTAAATAAGAGAGAACGAGTATCTTAAACTCCAATTTTTCTAGCGTCAGATTCTGCGAGCGACTCTTAAAATATGTACCTATCTTGCGGGCATAACTGGTATTTGGCAAAAACCTTATTGACAAAACCATACCTGCTGAATCCAAGATCTTTTTTATAACACCATAG